GAAATGAAAGAAGGAACCGTTCATGATTGCGCAAAGATTATGTCCAAATCAGGCTCTCCAAAGTGAAGTGGGCCTGTGCTTTCCCTAGGGTTAGGGAAAATCCACTGATGCAAGGGAAAGCAGCAAGAAAACTTTGAGATGCAAGATCTGTCAGAACCAGAAACAGTACACTTAGCTTCTGTGCAAATGAAGTTAAATGCTTGCAAGAAAAATGGAAGAATTTAACCCATTAATGGCTTAAACGGAAATACGTCTCTAAATGCCTCACCAGCGCCACGCGCACAAGGCTTGCTGGGAACATTCAATGTCGTCATGTTTGTTGAGCGCTTTGCTGAGCCTGACTTTGCTGAACACCAGATAAGGTGTTCATCACTGGGGCCAAAGGTGGTGGTGGCGGTGGCGGAAGAGAGAGGAACCGTCTCAGTAGTGTGTTGGTAGTGGTTAGCGGTCTGATAGCGATATTGCTGAGCTGGGGGAGAAGAGCTGTGAATTGAGGGCCTCTCCAAGGCGCCATAGCCGGTCAACACGAGCAAGCTGGTCCCCCGAGGAAGGCACAGGAAGAAGAGGTTGGGGGCAAGTTGCTATGGAGTGAGGTGGAGGTGCCACGGGACCCTCTACAGTTTGGGGTTGCCAATGTAGCTTCCCAAAGGCAGCAGGGCACTCGCTGGCAGGGAGAACTTAGCCTCATTGTCTAAATTCTCATACTCCCGGGCTCCCTATCTGTGACATGCAGAGGGTAATAGCCACCTATACTGGTCCCAGGGGGCACTGAATGACTGCACCTGGTCAAGTGGCTGGCAAAAAGTCCTTGCTCAGCAAAGTAGTTGTCGCACCCCTAGAATTTCATATATACTGAGGGAGAAACTGAGGTAGACAAGATCAAAAGCAAATTCATGCGCTTCACAACCTTTCTTGAAACCAGGTTGTTGTTGTTTTAAATACGTTGAGACCACATGGCTTAGAAAGCCACTTTTAAAGAAAACAAAATCTGGGGCGTCTGGGTGGCTCAGTCAGTTAAGCATCTGCCTTCGGCTCAGGGCATGATCTCGGGGTCCTGGGATCCAGTCCCATGTTGGGCTCCCTGCTGAGCAGGGAGTCTGCTTCTCCCTCTCCCTCTGGCCCTCCCCTGCTCCCATCCCCCTGCGGTGTGTGCACGCTCTCTCTCTCAAATAAATAAAAAAAGAAAGAAAGAAAACAAAATCTAAAGTCCACTAAACCCTAAGCGTCTTGCTCTGATTTCTATTTTATTTTATTTTATTTTTTTTTTTAAAGATTTTATTTATTTATTCATGAGAGACAGAGGAGGAGAGAGAGAGAGAGAAGCAGAGAGAGAAGCAGGCTCCCAAGGAGCAGGGAGCCTGATGCGGGACTTGATCCCAGGACCCTGGGATCATGACCTGAGCCGAAGGCAGACGCTTAACCATCTGAGCCACCCAGGCGCCCCTCTGATTTCTATTTTAGACTCTTTCACAGACTTTGATAGAGTGTGCCTTTGTAAATTACGCCCTTCCCCTTAACTTGGAGGCCAGGCCCTGTCTACAGTGTCCTCCAGCTCTGAGGCTTCACCGAGTCTGAAGGCCAGGCGTCAGACCTCAGGGTGAGATCCGAAGGCATGACAGGTGCCTGTGGACACATAGGGCAGTGCAGGAGCTGGGGAGGGTCAGGACCTAGCAGAGGTTACTTACTGGAATTCAACAGCTGTGTTAAGCTGGTGGGCAGGGGGTGATATGGCCCAAGTTATATGTTGACACAATTAATCTGGGTGTTCTAGTAGGACATGTGGAAGAGAAAGCCCGGAGAGCAAGGAACCATTTGAAAGACTTCAATTCCAGGAAAAGCACAGAGAAAACTCTACTTGGGGTGGTAGCAGTGTAAATCGAGAGCAAGTGGTCAAAGCTAGCAACATGGCAGGGATCAAATCTACAGATTTCAAATAGGTTATAACTAGTTCATTCTGCCACCCGGAAGTTATGTTATCATGCCTTGGAACAACCCACCTTCAGGCTTCAGGTCCCATTACCTTCCACCCGGTCCCAAAGCGCCAACAAAGGAACTGACATCCCTGCCTCCTCTTGGCTCACCTGTGAAGCACAGAGCTGAGTCCACCACACAAATTGTGAATTGAGGGCCTCTCCAAGGGGGAGATTTCCACACAAATCCTTAGACACTGATCAACTGATTGGTTTAAGACAAAGAGTGTGTTTATCCAGGCGAACAGCTCTGCTATGGAAGGAGAGATTTTGCTCATCTGGGCAAACGGCTTCTTACTAGCCAAGTTTACTTCTCAAGAACTGTTCATTCTAAACCACTATGTCACAAAACGTATTACCCAAAATTAGTTATCCATCATAAAAGACTACCTTAAATTACTTAAAACCAGACCCCCACACCTTGCAAATACCCTCCCTGACCCCTCATCTGAGATAGTACCAAGACTCAGGAGGAATTCTCCCTTCCTGCAGCCAGCCTGATAACCAACTTGGGCCAAGAGGCTTTTTGGGGACCTTCTGCAGAGCTGACAAGCATCAAGCCAAACCCACCAACTGAGGTCCACAGTCACATACAAGTCCTCCTGTTTTGCCGGCACTGCCTGCTTGAGCCCTGCTGTTCTCGGAGACCATGGTCATGCATGGTCATATCTGTTGCCCTCGAGCTGAGACCGCTCCCTTCTCTGACCACCTGCCCCCCGACCCCCACATGCTCTTGGTGTTACTTACTTTCTTTTGCCTCAGACTAGAGCTGTATTACATATTTGTTTTTTTGCTGCTTGTAGTACCCTCTATATTTCAGGTAAAGATGCCAATACTGTGCCTTGCACGTGACTGGGACACACCAAGCTCATTCTAAAAGTGTTTTTACAGATTTCCAAAACATTTAAGGAGAACAAGTCAAAAGAAATGCAAAATATGAACTTTTTTCCCTTAAGGCAAAATTCTAAAAGCAAGATCTCAGGTATAATTTAGAGTTGTGTTTGGCTTTGCAAAATAAGCTCCTTCTAGTTTTTTTCAGAGTGCTTGATGGTTATTTTTTGGTCCCTTTTGTATGGCCCACACACATCTGTGCATATGAGTATACACACACACGCGCACGCACACACACACACACACACACACACATCAAAGCATGTGAGCTTAGGTGTACTGGAACTGTCCTTCCTTGTTGGTACAGCTGTCTTCTTTCTCTCTTTTGTCTTCTGTATCTTCGGTTTGGTGTTTTGAGACATTTATCTACTTCTTTCCCTTATCCTAGAATCTACTAAAAACGTGCCCCAGGAGCTGTGCTGGGTGCTCTGTGCACATGGTGGAGATCCTGTCTGGGTGGAGCGCAGGTTTGGACATGCTGCTGGGGGAGCGCGGAGGACAGAACATCACCAGTATCCAGGCGGATTCCTTATTTTGCACAGACACTCTGTTTCTAAATAGGGTTTAGGCATAAACAGACAAAGATTGATGGATTGTTTCATGATGGAAGCGAGATAGCATCAGGGGATGATGGACCTTGAAAGAAAAACCATCAAAAGTGAGTACAATGAGTCAGACACCATGGTACAGACTCAGCAAGAATGCCTGAGAGCCGGGGACATGGAGGACAAGAGCCAACACCAGATCTTGGCCTCATGGCGGCAGCAGGCTATGCTCGTCTTAAGACTTGAGCAAGATAAATAAGCACAAACAAACATTCCCAGAGCTCTCTTACCTGGTATTTCACTCTGTTGTCACAGTTCCCCTCCTCCTCCTCCACACTATCACTATAACAACAACATCCTAGGACAAGGGACAGAGCCATCTTCGGGAAAGACAGAAGAACCAGATGGACCCAATGACTCCCCAGTTCATTTTAGCCTGGAATTCCCAGTCTCAGTCTATTTCTGTGAGCTTCTGTATCTTGAGATAGATGACACCTGCCCGTGGACCACTGAGAACTTTCCAGCAGGATCTGGGCTTTCTTCTATGTCTTACAACCAGATCAGGGGTGTTTCTTTGATCCTCTCCAAATATTAATTGATCAACTCGATACTAAATGAATATACAATATAAATTTGGATAAAGACAAAGATGAAAATTTCTAAGAGAATAGGAAATGCACATGTTCTTTTTCAGCCCATAAGGAAATGCAGAGGGACAGTGGGTTGTGTCCTGGGAGAAATAGGGACGAACTCTTTCTAAGCATCTTGGCTTCCAGACCTCTGCTGTGTAAGTGGGAAACACTCCCTACCCCCTATCTGATTGATTGGAGTTCCTTACTTGAAGAATACTGTTTACCTCACCAGTTACCCCATACCACAGTTAGAGCCATCGCTTGGAACTGGTTAGACCTAAAATCATGTTTTAGTCCTCAAAAGGATAGATGGCCTCTCTCAAAATTTTAGTCAGGAAGAAGATTAAGTTGGATGGACTTTAAAATGTAGCCCAAGATTAAGTCTCCCTTATTTTAATAACTCAGAAAAATCTTTCTTGGAATTTATTTGTAAGCCACTTTTATTGCCCAACTTTCTGTTTAGTGTACATACTCTGTTGGCTGGTTTCTCCCATTATCAATAAAAATGTCTTAATAGGCTATCAGAGTATGTATGGATTATTTTGCCTTTTTAATTAATGAATCATTATTAAGGTGGCTTGAAGGGAAAACAACGTGGCTATTTAACCCATTACATGATGTGTAAACAACTCTCTATCTACAGATACATGTATAGATATACCGTATACATAGATACATCACTTCATACATAGATCTATCACTGTATCATCTATCTATCTAACTATCTATCCATCTATCTATCTATCATCTCACAATTGCCCGGATGTTGCGATGATCTCTCGAATGTCTCCATGGTTCTAATCTCACTCTCGTTTAATCTATTGTCCATACTTCAACCAAAGTGATTTTTTCAAAATGTAAAAATGGTACTTTCATCATCCTGTGAAAATAATTCTTGTGTCTCTTTACATTGTTGAGGTTCAAAAGCCCTTCATGATTTTGGTCTTTGCTTTTCTCTCCAGCAGCATCATCCGCTGCTCCAGCCCACTCTTCCTCTCTCCTCCAGCCCCTGGGAGCCCTCGCCATTACTTCAGGGCTCCAGTGGCCTGTCCCTGTGTCCACGCTGGCTCTGCTGGATCACCTGGCCTGCCTTCGGCCACCAGGTGAGCTCATGTTCACCCTTTAGGACCCAGCTATGTCCCCTTTCCCCTCCCCTGGGCTCATCCACTCTCACTTCGGGTCACCACTCTATCTTGTATTTACCTTCATCATACCTTTTAAACCAACACTTATTTATATTTCTGTGTCCCCTAATGAGGCTGTAAATTGTTTGGGGGCAGGGTCTATGTCTAGTTTTGTCTCTCCTGTGCTTAATACAGTATACATGGTATATAGTAAATGTGCAATATATGTAAACTGAATGAATAAATGAATGGAACTCTTGAGGATCTTTTTTTTATGTTATGTTAATCACCATACATTACATCATTAGTTTTTGATGTAGTGTTCCATGACTCATTGTTTGCATATAACACCCAGTGCTCCATGCAGAACGTGCCCTCTTTAATACCCATCACCAGGCTAACCCATTCTCCCACCCCCCTCCCCTCTAGAACCCTCAGTTTGTTTTTCAGAGTCCATCACATCTCATGGTTCATCTACCCCTCCGATTTACCCCCTTCATTCTTCCCCTCCTGCTATCTTCTTTGTCTTTTTTTTTTTTAACATATAATGTATTATTTGTTTCAGAGGTACAGATCTGTGATTCAACAGTCTTGCACAATTCACAGTGCTCACCATAGCACATACCCTCCCCAATGTCTATCACCCAGCCACCCCATCCCTCCCACCCCCCACCACTCCAGCAACCCTCAGTTTGTTTCCTGAGATTAAGAATTCCTCATATCAGTGAGGTCATATGATACATGTCTTGAGGATCTTTTGATAGACTCTAGGGCATCTGGACAATAAATCTTTTAAATCGTCCTCAAATTTTAGATTCACAAAACTTATTTTCTTGATGCTCTACTGAAGTTAATATAGATCCCAAAGGACTAGTGTTAAGGAAAACCACTTTCAAACCCTCTTTTAAAAATTTTTGCAGAGTACTAAACTTGTATTCATTAGTATGATATAAATATAAATGAAGGGCAACCTTAATATCTCTTAATACAGCATGAACCATTTAATCTTGGGTTCACATAAAGCACACTGTAGTAATATGTAAGTAGATCCATGGACCAGAAACAAGTCCAAAGACAAAGTCATATATATTTAGAATTTAGAATACAAAATCTGTTATTACAAACCAGTACGGAAACAGTGTTTTTAGTAAATTGTACTTGGATAGTGATCTCTTCATTCTGGAAGAAGTAAAGTAAGATCCCTTACTCACACTATATACAAATATGAATTATAGCACAAAACATACAACAAAACTATGAGGTCTAGAGGAAATAAAGAACATTTTTATAATTTGGGGCAGGAACAGCTTTTCTAAAGAATGGTATGAAATTCAGGAGCCTCAAATGAAGATTAACAGATTTAACTATGTAAAGATTTAAAGCCACTACTTGGCAAAATATATTCTGAATAAAGTTTTAAAAAGCGAACAACAGATTAGCAGAAAATCTTTGTAATATCTTAAAAAGTAATAATATCCAAATTATGGTTTATAAAAAAACTTACAATATAAAAATGTAAAAATAAAGGTCAAATAGACATAATGCACAGAAGAAGAAATAGAAATAACTGTTAAACATTTGAAAAAATATTCACCCCAAAATTTAAAAAAATGCCAATGTGATATCATTTTTCACCCACTAGATTGGTGAACTGATAAAAGATAGAAAGTATTCAATATTGGGGAGGGTATGAACATTGCCATTCACTATTGTAGAAATGCAGGTTTTTTTTTTTTTTAAAGATTTAATTTATTTATTTTACACACACACACAAACACACACAGAACAAGCAGGGGGAGCAGCAGAGATAGAGGGATAAGCAGGCTCCCCGCTGAGCAGGGAGCCTGATGCGGGACTCGATCCCAAGACCCTGGGATCATGACCTAAGCCGAAGGCAGACTCTTAATCAATTGAGCCACCCAGGAGCCCCGAAATGCAAGTTTTTATAAAATGTTTGTAAAATAATTTTTTTAGTGCTTATCAAAATTTTAAACGTGTATACCTAACAATTTAACTTGTGGAAATATCTGTACCATTTGACATAATAATATATAACACCTCCTTATTTGTAGTGCTGAAAAATTGGATTCAGTTTAAATATATCAACAGAATCATGGTTACATAGAAAGCAGTACATAGAAATTATGGGATACTAGTGTTCATGGATTGTTACACAGGTTTAAGTGAGAAACAACAGATTGAAGATCCCACCATATTATATCTTCTATGTATGTATGTTCATCTATTTATATTCTGTATATACATAATACAAGGTCTGCAGATACTTTTACCTAATTTTTACCTTTGGGGAAACGGATGGACTGTTATTGTAGGGAGAGACCCTCCATGTTTTACTTTATCTACCCCTTTATTGTTTTTTGTTTTCAAATTGAACATGTCTTATTTGGGGGAATAACAGTTAAAGATAAAAAATTTTTGTAAGAGTACCACTAGCTAGGACTCTTGTCATCTATCATAGTATCACTGAACAAAGATGGCTTAACCTCAGCAAAAGAAGATGAACAGAACAGGGTCTGGATGAACTCTGAGGCTATTGGTGCTAAGGAGGGGCAGAGAGAGGCAGACATTGTTACACTAAGATTGGGAAGAAGTACACCCAACACCTAGAACCAGGTGTTCAGGGACAATGGTGAGAGATACAGGTCAAGGCTAACAGCCAGTGTCGACGGTCTCAGAGATTTAGAGGATATCCTCTCCCCAGGTGGCAAATTAGGAAAGGAAACTGGAATGTGGCTGGCAGCAGAAATCAGAGGCCTAGCCAAAAGCCTGGAGTACAGGGGGTGGGCCTGAGACCCTAACGTGGAACCATGGCAGATTGCAAGAGCGAAGGAGAACCTTGCGAGTACACATCAACCTGAGTCAGGTGGGGTGACAAAGCCAAAGCTATGGACCCATAAAAAAAAAGTAAAGAGAAAGGCAGACTCCAGTATTAGAACATTGGTAAGCTATCCGTTCACATAAAACATGACCACTCGGCCACACGTTCTGAACTCCAGGTGAGAAGACTGTGGAGAAGGCAAACGGGCCGGTGTTGGTGCCATTCCAAGTAACAGAAAGTGCTGTGGACCCTGGCCCCTTAGCTGGCCCTCCAAAGCTGTACAATCAGAATGTGTTGGTATAGATTGGGGATCAAAAACAGGACTCCACAACACAATCAGAAGAAATATTAGAACTAGTGCTGACTCAAACGGAAGATTTCTAGAATTTCTGATAAATACTCCTCAGAAGAAGCTTCTTATTTTGAGGGTCATTAGGCATTGAGAGACTGGTCACACATCTCCACGTTAGGTCTAAGCCCATCAATCTTGATGGTTGTCTCTCCTGAACTTTCCGGAAGCCAGTATCTACCTGTAATTGATGGAGTAGCAAGCAAAAGAGACACAAGTGCTGTTTTAGATTTATGACCTCTTTTTTCACTCAAGGTAAGAACTCCAGAATTCAGAATACTATATTCTTATCTGATGCACGGGACTAGATTAAATGTTGAACTACATGATAAATGAAGCTGAATTAATTAATGTCAGTCCTCATATAAATTGCTTATGATGAGAAACAATGAAATTAAGGAAAGTAGATGTGATACATCATCATTCCTCTTCATTTAATCCAGCTGAAAGGTGGGCCAGAGGAAGACACATTGCATAAATGAGAAAAATGGGCAGAGTTGGTAATACATTTACATTCATTTCCTTTTCAGAGTTGTCAGGAGTTGTTTTCATGAACCTAAAATTCATATTTAGTGTACAAACAAGCTCCACAATTTCATTTAAAAGCAATCTGGCTTGTTCTATCTGGCAGTAATATAACCTTTTATTTTAGCAACACAAATTTGCATGGAAGATCAGAGGAAGTTTTCAATGGCTGAGATATTAAAGCTTTAACACCTTTCTAGTCAAGTCCTGGATGGAATGAGCTCCCTTGAAGCTTGGCACATGACAACAGTTGATTTGGTATTTTTCCATCTTGGCTCACGTGCATGCTGAAGTCAAAGCCAAACCATCCCTAGGAAGTACAGAGTCCGGTCTGATGATCAAGTCCACAGTTTTTTCCTAGTCACCATCTCCCTGTTCTCTGTGAGGAATGGGTGTTCGTGGCAAAGCAGAGAAGCGTCCTGACTTAGAGAGATTTCAGAATGCAGGGCATCACCCAAGTGTGTCAGAGAGGAGAAGTTCCTTCAGACTGCAAAAATCTAGTTTGCTAATTTTGTTACCAATGGATATGCAACTGAAATATTTTTCGAATTCATTAAACAAGTACATAGCTGCCAAACTTAGTAGGTGTTGAGGACACCAAGGTGAGCAAGTCAAGATTCTGGTCCTGGAGAGATTCATGGTCAGGGAGATAGACACTTAAACAGAGAATGTGGAAGGTACAGTAACAGATCAAGAACAAAGTGCTGTGGGAGTGTTTCGCAAGCTTGTGGGAACTGTAGATGTCCCCCCAGAAACAACGCCTTGAGGCAGTGCTCAGATTAGATAGAAGGTCACTGATCAGAGGGAGAAGGGTGAGTGAGGTGCGGAAATGCAAAGGAAACGAGTAGAGGCCTGGAATGCATAGTCTGATTCTTTGCCTATCAGATTGTCAACGATTAAAAGATGTACAAGATACTGTGTGGGTAACAGTGTTAGAGTGCTGGTTGGAGTGGAGGCTGGTCCAAGCCCTGTTGAGGACAACTGGGCAGATGGATCCTCATGATCACAAATGCACCTGTGTGTAACCTAGCAATTCCTCTTTTAGGAAGTTGTCCTAGAGGTATACTCATCCTCGGGCAAATTGTAGTATGTCAATCATTGTAGCATCGTTTGCGCTAGCCAACTATTAGAAAGAGTTGAAGTGTGTGTCACAGGGGACCAGGCAAATAGACTTCAGCAGAGTCTCACAATGCAACACTGTGGTAGCAGGAAAGAACGAGAAGGCTCTTGATCTCCAACATGTATTACTAAGGAAAAGCACAAGCT